GATCATATGAAGGTGTGCCNCGCAATGACGTCACACATAATTTGGCGGGACTTGAAGAATCCCCGAGAAGATCCAGAAAATGGTCAACATTGAAGGGCAGATTAATGGTTATCAAAGTACAAATATCCAAAATCAGTTCAGTAACGGTTTTCAAGGGGACAATATTTACTCAAATTGATGGGTTTGGATGATGGGGGAAACTCGTGTCACAGGCTCTTTAATTGAAGCATTATATCACAGGCCTTTGTCAGATGGTATATTACGCTTATTATTTTTCTGCTTCGAATAATTCTCTCTTTTTTCACCATACCTGTGTTTGCATCACTGTATATGCTGTGTCAAATAGTTAGCAACTAGTGCGCTCTACAGTAAAATACATGCAGAATGAAATACTACGTAACAGGGATTTTTGTCCATGGAAGCATTTCTGATCCACAACATGCTAAATGCTAAGTTAACGCTGCAGGCGGTATCACCTCATCTACCATGTTGGCCTACTGTTAAAACCAATAAAGTAGTTTAGTATCTTTGGATCATACATGTTGGTGCCTTTATATCCATTTTAATTCTCAAATGTCATGTTTGTCTGCATATTATCTCACTGATGATTAATGGACCCTTTTTTTAAAAATGTACTTTAATTTGTCCCTCAATGTTCTCCACACACTCAAAATGCCCCATCCTGACTTGTGTGTTTTCTGCAGATGGACATTCACAAAGGCATCCTGAAGCCAGTGAGGGAGAAGCCCCACGCTGTCGCCCCCCAAAGTGCTCCCCCGAGCCGGCTGCCCCCCCTGATGCCTGAGCGAGACCATGAGCGGGAACAGAACCCAGAGTGGGACCGGGGCATGGGGGGAGTGCGGCAGCTGTGGGTGGAGCGGCAGAGAGAGATGGAGCGCCGGGAACGAGCCCGTGGCGAGCGGGAATGGGACCGGGATAAGGTCCGGGAGTTCGCCCGGCCGGGAGAGGACAGACCCCGCTCTCGATCCAGAGAGAGGAGGAGGAGGGAGAGGGCCAAGAGCAAGGAGAGGAAGACGGAGAAGAAGGGTAACTGATCACTACACCTGGTAGAATAAAAGCGAATCAAAAGTATTGGGAATATTTACATAAAGCCAGCTGACAAATACAGTAAATATATAGATAAATACCCAGTGGTTGCTTTCACAATTAGGCAAGATTAGCAGGTTTAAAGTTACTTTTTTTCACACACATTTTGAGTGGTTTTCCTAGAATCTGACCTTTCTCTGTTTTGTACCAAAGGAGACGAGCCTCCTGCAAAGCTGCTGGACGACTTGTTCCTGAAGACCAAAGCAGCGCCGTGTATCTACTGGCTTCCCCTCTCTGAGGAGCAGGTTGGTCTCTCACTCCCTTCTTCATAACAGTGTTCATTTCATCAACGAAAGCTATCGTGTTCGTCAACGACCTTTTTTACATGACGATGACGAGCTAAAAATAGATCCTTGATAATAAAAACTATGACGAAGTTTAGATTTAGTTTTCGTTGACAAGACGGGACTAAGGTGTTAATGGTGGACTATCAGACATTCAAAATGCAGCATATTTCCCCCCAAGTGTCCGTCTTGTCAAAACGCATCTTACGTTTCTAACTTGCAATATCATTATTTACGCTCTCTTCACTCCAGAAGAGCGATCTCTCCCTGTCTGTGTCTCGAGTCGTCTGTGTGCGGGGGGCGGGGCCTAACTCTCTCTCTGTGCGGGGGGCAGATCCTAACTCTCTCTCCCTCTCTGTGTGCGGGGGGCGGGGCCTAACAGACACGCTGCAGCGGCCTGAACAGATTTTTAAGAGTAGTAGTACCGTTAAAAGTGTTAAAGTGAAATGTTGCTTTACGAATTTCCACACTTGATGCTGTCACCTTGATTCCAATTTCAGATACCTGTATTTGCCAAACTGAATTGAGTTTAAAGAGAGAAAACATTTTGACTGAAATGTAATGATTTTAGATCGACTAAAACTATGAAGGATAACATTTGACTAAAACTAATAACCATTTTCGTCTAAAGACTAAATCAAAATAGCTGCCAAAATGAACACTGCTTCCTAAACACACTTGTTCAATTCTGTGTGTTTTTATTGAATACATTCTGCTTTGCCTCCACCAGGCGGCGCACAGGACTCAGGAGCGCACCGAGCGGCAAAAGGAGCGCGTACAAAGGCGCAAGGAGCGACAGGAGGAGCTGGAGAAGAAGGCGGAGGAGGAGAGGGAGCGGCTGAAGGAGCGGCTGAAGGCTCGGGAGAAAGATGGCGCGGCGGCGGCGCCGAGCGTCGGAGCGGCCGGGCGAGGAGCAGAGAGAGAGAGGGAGCGCGGCCGAGACAGGGAGCCCGACAGGAAGCGGGACGGCAGCAACCGACCCCCCCCACGACCCTCTGTAGGCGCCGGGGCAGGACGCCGCTCCCGTAGCCGTAGCAACCCCAGGGATAGACGCCGCTGAACGCAGAGCGGCTGCAGGGAGAGATAAACAGAGAGGGACGAGGGACACGGCAGACAGGAAGGGGTTCCACTCGGAGATTCATCTGTCTATTTTTCTAACATTCAGGACTCGTGGCTGCTGCTCGCTACCCGCCCCGCCGAGCTTTAATTCGTCCACTTCGACACCACCGTTGTCTTCCACACACTTCTGCCATTTCACCCTCCCTCCCTCCCCCGCTGCACTGTTAAATATCGCGATCGGCCGGCTTCACCGCCAGCGCTCGGGACCGACTAAAATCAGGGTCAGGTGGTGCGATGTACTGCCATTATAGCGGTAATACCTGCGTGGATTTGGATTTGAAGATTGTCTATGTTGTATTGGTGGTTAGGAAGTCCGGCGAGTATACTCAGAGTATGTGCAGTTTTATTGCCGGTAGGCAGTAGCCGAAACGACGCACACGCGGTAGCACACCAATGTGCGTATACGACCCTAGGACCTTGCACGTCGACTAGCGCACCGAGCGTTACTGAGTGTGTATTAATACGCCTGAACTTCTTAGGGGCTTTTAGGTCTTTTACCAGGTTGTAACCCTTCCGTCTAATTACCATAGTTTCCACTTTTAATAGGTTTTGTCAAGTCTTGCCCAAAGTCGCATGTATAAATGAGTTTAATCCCAAACTACTAATACAAAAAAAAAAAAACACTTGGCACATTGTAGAATTAACTTTGTTATCGTGTCCGGAAAGTCTATTTAATGCTGATTTACGAAAAGCCTTATTAGGGAAAAAAGTGTATGGACCACAGTAGTGACAATATGACAGTTTATTCGTTGATACGGGATGTCCAATTTTAATGTAGCTTACCTTTTATGATCATTGTCACCTAAAACAGGTACCTTGTAAAGACTGGTGTTGTACGTTCTACGATTATTGGACGTCGCCATAGGTGGAGTAGGATGGTATAACGTTGGACATTTTGGTTATTTTCCATAATCCATAGTGAAACCAATAGTATGTCACCGTAAATATCGGGGTCCTGTTCGTGGGGAGGGCTTCCTCCAGTCTCCTTCCCTAAAAGACTGCAGTCACGTCCTTAGTAGGTCGTGTATGTATCTATATATAATGTCTTATTTGGAGAATTGGATAAAGTATGAGAAGAGAGGAGCCGACTATTGGGAGTTAAGTTTCTGTTACCCCGTGTCAGAGGTCTTGTTGGTGTTGTTTATTGTAGAGAAGGATAGTTCGTGCGCAACGCCAATGTCACAACTCTTGAGCTAGCGTTAGTAAGCACCCTCTACTTCCATATATGAGCGTGTTTGTAGTGGACGCCAGTGGTGGAGGTCCACTTGTTTTTTAATTGTACTACAGATTTTTGTATTTTTTGTTTAGGATACATTTGAATTTTTTTATTTCCTCTTTAGAGTCACTGAATCTCTACTACTATATCTTATAGACTTCCAGGCCTCCTATGTATAACCTGAACAAAAACTAATGTCCCGAGACTCCTCCTTTCCTTGACTCGCGGGCGTCTGGATTTTAGTTCTCTGTCCCGAGGGTTTGGAGTCACCTGTTGCGACTCCGCTCGGTTTCTTAATTTTCTTTGGGCAAGAGATACTAAAGAAGGAAGTTGTCGGCAGTTTGTCCTCTCCCCCTTGCGGACGAGAGATGGCTGACCAGCGAAGACCTTCTGGCTCTCTTGTCTTATTTCTCGATTTGGCAGGTAGATTTTTTTTAAGACACCTGGTTCAC